GGGGGGGGGGGCGGGGGAGGACCATGGATGAGAAGCTGCAGGCGCATCAGGTTGACATCGACCCGGATTTTGAACCTCAGAGTCGGCCTCGCTCTTGCACCTGGCCGCTGCCTCACCCCGACTTTCCGGGCGAAGACGACGATGGAAGCGGCGGTGCGGGAGGAAGAGGAGGAGGAGGCGGCGGCGGCGGCGGCGCCCCGAAGCACCCCTTGGCCGGCGGCACCGAAGGCGCCGAGAACGCCGGCGTGGCGGCGGAGCGTGGCAAAGCGACCCCGGCGCTGCCTTCTTTGAGCGCGGACGTTGGACAGCTCCGCAAAGCCAAGACTTCGCGGCGGAACGCTTGGGGCAACCTGTCGTACGCGGATCTCATCACCAAGGCGATCGAGAGTTCCCCGGAGAAACGGCTCACCCTCTCCCAGATCTACGACTGGATGGTCCGATACGTGCCCTATTTTAAGGATAAAGGCGACAGCAACAGCTCCGCGGGCTGGAAGGTACCTGGGGGGAGCGGGGGGGGGGGCGGTCCTCTCCCGCCTTGCGCCTTCTTCCCCTCCCGCTTCCTAGATGCCTAGTTTCCCAGAGGCGCTGGGGGAAGTTTTACTACTCTCGTCCTCCGTGGGGGTCTCCGGCGTGCCTTTCTTTGGTTTAGATGTCCAGCAGAAGGGGGTTGACCTGTGGTGGTGGTGGGTTTTTTTGGAGGGGGGGTATTCCCCGAAGCTGCAAGGAGAGGTTGATTAAAAGGCTGTTCAAATGCTGGTCTTTCCCCGCTACCTTTATTCCATCCTTTTACTTGAGAGAACAGCTTTGCAACTGTTCGTTGGTGTCTGGAGTATTAAAGTAATGGCAGGGCCAACCCTGAATCCTTCCCAGAGACTCTGGAGCATCCCTGCTGAGCATAGGTTTGGCTCTAACAGGGCAAGGCCTTTGGCTTTATTGCAAGAGTGTCCGGTCCCCCCTCAAACCAAACTCTCTTGGAGTCCAGAACTTGATTCCCGAGACTCTGCTCTGTTGTCTTTGACCCGGAAAGGGCAGTTACTCTCGTAGTAGCCTTATTGAACTCGGACTGGAGAGCACTTTTGCTTCTTGCTGAGCCAGAGGAGGAGAAAGTATTGTTGGCAGTAGGGAAGAGGGTGTAAGTGATTGCTTTTAAATGTACACCCCCCCCCCCTTTTCTTCTTCTTTGCGCTGGGAAAGAGATAGGTCGTTTATCAGTAGCCTGGTCACTTATTCAACCGTTTTTTGGCCAACCTCCCACATTGCCTTCTGCCCGGCAGCAAAGGAGTTGGGAGGGGGGGGGGAAATGATTCCCTCCTTCTCGTATTGCAGTTAAGTGGCACCTGTCTGTCTGGAAGTACTTTTTGAAGCTTTCTTCTGCTCTGCTTGATTGAAATGCCACTTTGGAGAAAGGAAATTGGGAGGGGGGTGGGTGGGAGAAGGGGGAGGGAATGTTGCTTTTCAGCTTTTGGCTTTTCAATTTGGTCAGTGGGTAGGTGGATAGAGTGGGGAGGGGGGGGAAAGAGATCTTTTTTCTTCTGGAATGTAGTCTGGATTCTTGGAGCCTCTATCATTATCCCAAGGAAAACTTGAAATGTGATTCCTTCTACTGAGTTACTCGTTTTTTTCCCCCCACGTCGAGCCAGTGGGACAAATGTTATTAATCCCGTATGGATTCCATCAGATCCAAAACTGGACATTTAGTAAAATAGCCCTCTTGTGCTTGTTACAAACTTTGTACATGGGCAACATCTCTTTCCTGAATAAAAATGGGATTTAGTCTTCTTCTTCTTCTTCTTCTTCTTCTTCTTCTTCTTCTTCTTCTGTTTCTTTCTAAGGTCAGGTCATGGATAGAAATGTGGTTATTTGGAAAGTCCTTGCTGTGATACAGTCTTCATGGAGAGCTTTGAAACAGAGTTTCCCCCATGTGTGTCTTGGCCCTGGAGAACCCTTGTAAATCTGGAAATAAATGATAGGAGGGAAGAAGACAACAGAGTGACTTGTATTTTCTTTATCCTTCTATTATTTGTTAGTCTTATCTAGAAGAGTTAAGATACACACCTCTCTCAATTTAACTCTATCAGTAGTAATCAATTCCTCTTTTATTGGGATTTAGTGTAGAGTTGGGCTGCCTTCTTTCAATTTACAAGAAAAAATGTGTATGTGTGTTTGGGTGAGGAAAATCTACTTTTTCAACCAAGGCAGTAACTCTTGTGTGAGAAAAAGGTATTTATGAAATACCTTTGGAAGGGAAGCAAAAGATGAGCCATATGGGCAGCAGAGGGTTCCCATTTTTTAAAAAAAATCACGTATTTTTTTACTCTCCAGTTACTCAGTAACACTGTTCCATCAAGTGTCGGCACTGGCATGATCTGCATATTTTCTGCTGGATCTCAGTTCATGGGATTGGCTAAAGGAACAGTTTTCTTTTGTTATTTGTATCTTTGGATGCAGAAATATCCCGGAAGCAGTGAACTGAAAGGTTAGACCAAGAGTTATACTGGTTACAGGAATCTGCACTTCATAGTTGGCAGATTCCCGCCCCCCCATCCAGTTGGGACTGGAACTCCTCAAGTTCCCAACCAACATGATGGATTCTCAGTTTCCTGAGAATCCTGGAAACTCTTTTCCCACCACACTTGGATAATGCAATTGGGAGAGGCTAGGATCAGTCTTATTCAACCAGCTGCTAATCAAAAAATCACGTTTACTAGTGCCCATTCACCCCATTCTCATTTCCTCTCTTTCCTCTGATCAAGAGTGGCTAATAATCCCACTCTGGGTTTTGTTTAGAAGTGTGATTTAACTGGTTTTTCTATATCAGCAGGTTTATGATCGTTGCACTCTTGGGTACCAAGGCTTGCCCAGTTAAAATCTGCAAGAGTCTTCCTTTTCATTTCATAATACAGGAATGCTTCCCAACCTTGGCTTTTTAAAGATGTGTGGACTTCGACTTCCAGAATGAATTATGTGAGTTGAAGTCCACACTCCTTAAAATGAGTAAGGTTGGGAAACACTGCAATATAATATTAAGGTGACATATGTTTATTGCTCTGGGAATCCATGGCACAGCCTGGACCTATGCCATGGCTTGTTCATGGTCCCCTGACAATTAATACACACAATTTTCCCCCCCCCCCCGAGGCCCCACACAAAGCAAGTCAAGACCATCACTTTTTTGATGAAGCCAAAGTGTTGTTTTCGCTCAAAGCATAAAAGTAATGATTCAAACCCAGCAGTGTACCTGTGTAACAGGTTAGTAGAAATCAGCAGGGGATGGTAGCATTTTCACCTTGCAGTTCTCTACCCATGGAGGAGTAGAAACATAGGCAAGGGAGCATCCAGGCATCCAGAACTTTTATCATCGAGGTTTTCAAGTTGTCTGGTTTCCATGCTTTGGTTTTGGGAAAAGCTCTAATGAAGTTTGTTACAGCGAGGAGATCTTTCTCCCTGGGATTCTGCCAATGAAAGAGCGGGCATGAAAACTTTTGCCAGTATATGTGCTAGTCCGAGCTGAAATCTTTTGCTCCTCTTCATGGGATAAATCAAAGGGATTCTGCCAAAATGTGTCTCCGCCTTCCAATCTGGACCTGCCCGTACGTGTCCTTGTGAGACTTGGCACTGGTGCTCTTACGAGGTTCAGAAGTTAAGCAGCTGCTTCCTACCCTCCCTCCCTGATCCTCTTTCTCGAGAGGATTACAACACTGGCATGAATCAGGTCCCACGAAGAACTGATGAGAAATATTAGAAAATCTTTGAACGGTATGAAGTTTTGTCTGTCTGTGTGATATACAAATTTATATGTATGGTATTCAGCTTTGTTCGGGTATTTTCCCACGTCATTATAGTTGTGCTTTTAAAGTTGTAGCAACGTTTCGGCAGAATCTCATCTGCCATCATCAGGCTTCTGTATTGTGTTTGTCTATGAGTCAGACTTTCACAGCCATTTCTGTTTTAAATTTGGTGCTAGCCTACTGCTGTGCCAGAATGGTTTTTTCTTCATCCTGATTGGTTGGGAGTCTTGGTCTGTGTTTATTGGTCTTGGAGTTTGCTGTGTTCTGCTTGATTGGTGTTTCTAATATCTTCTGTCTGTTTTGTGACTTTTTTTGTCTTGATTGGCTAGCAACATTGTGTTTACTGTATTGGAGGCTTTTAGTGAGGCTTGGTTCTGAGTAAACGGACGGCTATCATTTATTAGGAAGCTAGATTTCATCTGGGTGCCTGGTTGGGGTGTGTTTGAGCTGGAGGTATCCGTGGGGGGGGGGTTGTTTGTGCCCAGGTGTTTGCCTGGCTTTGCCAAGACCAATAAACACACACACACACATATATTCAAAAAGTGTGGTGTAATAGAGGTGACTAGGTTCCAATGGAACAAACTCTGCAATGGGGTCAGAATGACAGGCAAACCTGTTTTATACAACTTTTGTGTTTGTTGGAAGTAGGTTATGGCCTTGAGCATGACTTATATTTACTTTTTGGGGGGTTGCTTTTCATTTGCTGTTTATTATGGATTTTTTGGTGTTTGTTTTGCTTCTAATCCAACCCAGAGTCACTTGTGTAAATGGATGGCCTTAAAAAATAAATGATTACATAAATAAATCGCGGGAAGAATTCATTTGAGGAAAGATCCAAAATATATTCTAATGAACACTGTTTTTCAAGTTTTGTTTCATGCCTTTAAAGAAAAGGAAAAAAAAAAGATTTGGTGCAGTAATAAGTGGCTTTGCCCCAGTCAAAGACATTTTAGATGAAGGTTTTTGAAAATGCTCCTATTTGTGAATGATTGGTGAGGAGCTGTTAGCTGCTTGCATTATCTTAGACTCTTTTCATGCTAAGAGTTGTAGTGTCAATTTACTGCATCTCAAGGTTGGGCTGGAAGAAAATGCTGTTGAAAAAGCTCTAAAAAAATTGCTCAGAGTATGCACAAATTGCCACTGATCATCTTATGAGGATCCAGATTGTTGCAGGCAATATGCCGGCCCATTAAACTGCTTAGAGAGGGCTGTAAAAGCACTGTGAAGTGGTATATAAATCTAAGGGGCATTGCTATTATGGCACTTGTCCTGATATCTCCTAGTTGAAATGGGCCGATATGACATGATAGTGCATGATGGGAGTCTCACATGCTTTGTACTTGGTCATGCTGGGAACTGGGAAGAGGGGTTACCCCATGCTTTTTCAAGAGGCAACTGGACTTTCTTTGTTTTTCCTTGAATGGATGACTGAGAATTTCCATAAGCATCGCGAAGAGAGAATGTAAGGTTTAGGAGTCCCACGGCAACGGAACTCAGTCGCTTTCTGTTTTGGCTCCATGAAAATTAAGAGCTGGCTTGAAATGTGATGAAGAAAAAGAAACTCTACAACCCCCTATCAAAAGGTAGATCTTATCACAACATTATCTAAACACTTTCAGATAATTTTGTTTGTGGTCACAAGTCACAGACTTTGAGTATCATCACTGTGTTCTGAACGGTTGTTGAGAAAGAGAAATTATCCTTTT